GAAAAACTTTTTTTTGTGCCCAAAAAAGGTCGCCTACAAAATTTGCATGCAGTTTTTTGGCCTTTTTTGAAGGACTTTTGCTTGTGCAAAATTTTTTGACTTATAGATAGACTTTTAAAAAAATCGAAGAACGTCATGCCCTGCATCTTTGCGTGCTCTATCGAATGGTAAAAAAATTTTTTTGAAAAAACATAGTTGAAGGCAAAATAACTGGGATGGAAAATGGGTCATTTTTGACCAGTGTTCACCGTATAACTTTCTTAAACTTGCATATTTCGGGCTGAAATTTTTATCGTAGACTACCAGCTATAGTCCCAACATATCCTGAAAATTTCAGCCGATTTGGACTTTCTTTGGCGAAAATCGACCTTTGAGGGGGGAGGGCCTTAACAAACTCTGTTTAGGATATATACAAAATAACATGTGTGATAAAGTACTAGGTTTATTTGAAGAAATAACTTTAAATCTTAGTGATGTTAGTTACACCATTGTTTTCAATGCATGTGCTCAAGTCTCTATTGATCGAGCAATGAAAATTGGAAGAAAACTTCTAAATCAAATCCATAAGAACTTTCTAAATGATAATAAATTACTAACTTCAGCAATAAATATGTTAATGAGATTTGGTGATGTTAGCAGTGCTGAGAATCTTTTTCAAATGATCCAAAAAAAGAACATAATTACTTATGGAACTATGATGAATGGATATAATATAAATAATGAACCATTGAAAAGTTTAAAACTTTTTGAAGATATGAAGCGAGATGATATAAATGCCGATGCAATCGTATTAATCATACTGATTGGTGCATGTGCACGAATTGGTATGCTTTCAAAATGTCAATCAATTGTTGCTCAAATTCCTTTGCACTTATATGAGAACCAACGTATACGCAATTTCATTAATTCATATGTGGGTATGTATTGTCTGTAAAAATTGTCTGAACGAATATTTTTGTTTTCATTCGTTTTTTTGTCACAGGGAAAAGCAGGTTCAGTTAAAGATGCTCAAAAGATTTTCAAATCGATTGATAAACCCGATGTTGTTACATATACTGCAATGAGTGAATATACTTTATCTTTATTTTTTTTACTAATTTCTCTTTGAAGTTAATTCTTTTGGACTTAATCGAATGGACTCAGAAGCTTTAGATTTATATCAAAAGATGCCTAATAATCTACAAGATGAAGTTTCATCCATTTGTGTGTTAAATGCATGTTCTCATTCGGGTCTTCTTAATGAAGCGCATTCTATCTTCAATGAAGTCTCTCATAAAACGAAAAAAATTATTACGGCAATGGTTTGTATATATTATTGTTTTCGCTAAATATGAACATATTTTTATGATTTAAATTGATTGTTTAAGTCGCCTTTTTTTTGTTTGATGAAGCATAAAAGCAATTAGAAGATTATGAAAAATCCAATCCACCTTATTCAGCTATGTATAGTAAATGTTTTTTCGATATTGATTTGTTTTTGTTGATTCATTATTTATTTTTGACTCTAGTGGCTATATTATCTGGTGCACGTAGTTCTCATAATTCTATTTTATCAGAAAAAATATATCTAAGAATGAAATCATTGTTTCCAGATCAAAAAGATGCTCTCATATCTGGTTCAATTCTTCTTTGTAATATATATTCATCGTTAGGTGATCATGAAGAAGCAGAAAATATTCGATAGAATCGAATGAAAGAAATAGGAAAAAGTTCAAGCAGGTTTATCGTGGACTGAAGTGAATGGTGAGATAGTGGTGAGAAAATTTTCCAATAAAATCAAATTGCAAAGAAAAGAAATTGTCCACTTTTTTAGCAATTCAAGGCTCATGATCGTTCTCATTCTCGATCAAAAGAAATTTATGCTGACGCTGAACGTATATCATCTGAACTTATTAAACATGGACATAATTATGATTCAAGTTGGATTACTCGTCCGTTACATGAAAATGAAACAATTGAATCTGTTTTATTTGCTCATAGTGAACGACTTGCAATTGCCTTTAATTTTATTCAAGAAACAAAACCATCGTTTATTCAAATTACAAAAAAATCTTCGTGTTTGCGGTGACTGTCGTAATTTATCAGTTATTTTTCTATGATTCTTAGTAGCTTATGTATTTCTTTTTGTGAAACACGATCTGAACGGAGTGTTGAAGTACATAGGGCAGAAATTTGAACCCATCCACCACCCCGGGACAGAGAAATTAATTAATTAATTAGTTAGTTAATTAATTAATTTCTCTGTCACGGTCTGTGATGGTCTCTACCGACTCCATAGATCGAAATACAGACCGTGACCGAAAGGCTGCATATATGATTACAGATAGTGGCAGAAAAGCTACAAAGACTCACAGATCGTACTAGACGGGTTCCAGCAAAGGAGTTCCATCGTGTTTCACATTTTAATCCCACAGGGATTGCGCTAACAGCTTTTCTTATTCAGATCAAGCTACAAAATTAATTGCAAAAATTCGTCAAGTCAATATTGTTGTTCGTGATGCTAATTGTATGCATCACTTTTCTACTAATGGAACGTGTTCGTGCCAAGATCATTTTAATATATTTTGTTACTATGCGTTTATATTTACTTTTTTGTATGAAAAACTAAAATTAGATACATGATTAGGTGCGTCAATTTACAGTTTATTTAATTTAAATTTAAATTCTATAAAGTTAAATTTAAAATCAATTACAATTTTTTTCATACAAAAATTTTGATTAAATTTTAAGGCTGATGAATCATTTAAATTTAAAATTTAATAAATTGTTTGCAGGGTACACATCATTGCTATGAGGAAAATACGTGACTTTAACAGTAGTAAATACTAAATGAGAAGAGAACCTAGGATTTTAGGTTAATATTTGTTCATAGTAGTCAAAATTTTTCTACAGATTATGCAGGATTCGTCATCTTTCTTCTTCAAAATAGCGGGATACTCATAAAAATATATTTAATAGCACAATTCGTAGAAGAATTACAGGCTTTAACTTTAGAAAACAGGAAAGATACTAAAATTAGACTTCAAATAGTAGCAATCAACTTAAAAACTATGTTTATTTACTAGTTTTCAAAAGTTAACTAATTTGAACTTCAAACAATTTTATTTAAATGATACAAAATTTAAAATTTAATTAAATTAAATTAATGTAAAATATAAATTTTTGAAAATTAAAATGTGACACCCCTATACATGATCTAATCATTTTATTTTCTATTAATATGATTGGTCATATACAAAGATACAAATATTCGGATAATTAATTTTTTATTCTATATTCTCGAGATTAATGTGATAAAATATATGAATCTTTAATTCATGCTTCTAGAAAAATCAAACAAAAGAGATCATGCTGGTTTAGATAAATCGTTGGAAAAGGAGGAAGCTACTAGTTTTGAGTTTGTGATTTAAAATGAGTTTAGCTACGTTCGGTGATTTATTTTGAGTTTCAGCTGAGTTCAATCAGTAGTTTCCCCCTTAATATGGACCCACAATAGAACATACTTTCCAGCAGTATACAACGGTAGTGAATGGGTGACCTCAGTTCTTCGGCATCCTAACGGTGAAGCAATTACTCACATAGGTCGAGAATAGGCGACATGACTGCGGGACTGACTGCTGAGTCTTTATTTATTTTTATTTACTCTTTTTCTTCCTATTGTATGTGTTTCGTTGTTTTTCTCATTAGCCGCAAAAAAATAAACAGCTATGATATCATTCAACGATCTTCATCGACGGCAGCCAATCTAATTTCGAGGAAAAACGCGATGAACATGTATCTAACAAATATTTTTGAGGTAACAGGATCTTCGTTCAGGATGATATCGACCCAATGTAAAACTTAAGTATACAAATAAATAAAACGAGGATTTGAATGTGGATGTCAGAGTTCATCGCCTTTTTATCTTCACCCACATCCTTCACCAGGTCATGTACTGAGTGAAAATTTCGACATATTCATTGAGTATGAGCTTTCTCGCCCGACTTTGTTACAGATTTAACGTGGAAAACTTGAAAATTATCGCTATAACAATTTTGATTGAAACTGCTGTTTTTTGTGTACTCAAAAAGTGAGTACATTACTAAAATCGGTCAGTGTGTCCGGCCGTCTGTTTATTCGATAACTCTTCACAATTACATTCGATTGAGCTGAAATTTTGTGCACAAAATTGTTTCATCAATATCTAGGTCGAATTCGAAGATGAGAAGGATCCGTCAAGAGATGGCTGAGTTATCGAAAAAATTGTCATTTTTGATCAGACCATCCCTGAGGGGGAGTACAGGGATTTTTCAAGAAAAAACTTTTTCTCAGAATTATCCACAACATATATAAATCGACTCAGCTTTTAACGCTGATTCTGAATATGATATTAGTTTTGAAAAAAATCGTAGTTTTCTAACGAAGCATTGGCTGAAAAGGTCTCAAAATACACAAAAACTGCATCTAGAAACCAAATTGCCTAGATATGTCTCAGATGACCAGCAGCTTGGAGTTTCTCAAATGCCTAGTTTTTTAACTAGTCAAAAGGACTATCGAAAGGTAACAAAGTGAATATACCTTTTCACTTTTTGAAGTACACATAGCACTCGGATTTAAATCCGAGGTTTTCGCATTTTTTCTACCAGTTAAAAGTTTCTTAACATTTTACTACCCAGACAGTCAAAGATCAGCAAAAAAACGCGTTTATACGTCATTATTTTAGCGTTTTTTTCCGCTTGAAAACGCTTTGAAAAACGTTAAAAGCGCACATTCTAACGCGTATCAACGTGATATTCTGTCTTCTAAATGGAAAAAACGCGTTTATATACGTTGTTCAAGCGTTTAAACATCGTTTTTTGCTCGAAAACGCGTTACAAAACGTTAAAAGCGCACATTTCAACGCATAAAAACGAGTTTTTTCTCTATTTTTGACTGACTGGGTACTCACGTTTGATTATAATTTGTGAAGTAGTTATTTTTTATTGCCATCACTTTTTCGTTTTTCTTTATTTTTAACGCACACATAAACATTCATGGCCAGGTTAAACTACTTTTATGATATTTAACATTCTTTTTGTTAGACAAATAGTAATTATATCATGCTTTTCGAAAATTAAATTGTATGATATCCCTGTATTACAATTAGCATTTGATCAAATTTTATTTCTCATGATAATTTTCGTCAAAATAAATTACTTTTAAAGTTCGCTTTTTTATTTCGTTAAAGAGAAGAATTTTTATAACATTTAGTGTTTTTTCTCAAAATTCTACTATATGTAAACATAATAAAAATATTTCAGCTTAGGATAGTTTCGAATTAATACGCTGAACAGATTTGTTCTGCAAAATCTTCGTCTATTAAATAAACTATGATAATTTCAACAGAGCAGGCGCGAGTGTCACTTGGTCCTGAAAGGTTTATTATTTTACAAACTACAATATTCTTATTTATCGATTCGATCATTACCAATAGCTTTCATCATCAATATCAAGTATGCCAACGTATTAATTTCAAAAACAATGCACTCTCTATAGAAAAAAAGATAATTATTTTATACAGATAACAACACTACGAATAACGACCTATCAAAGAATACTTGTTCATTGATAGAAAAACGTTATTCTTGCAGGATATCACACTATGAAGTGCAGTTAACAATAAATTGATTTGCCACAGATATTCAAATATTTATCTGATGTTGCAAAAAAAAACTTACAATTGTTCATAGGATTTTCTGACGTACGAAAGGAAATTCAAAATAAACATAATATACAAATAATGTCTGCGTGAAATTTAAAAACGTTTTGTTTGAATACATTACGCATAAGATCACGGAATATTATGATGGATTCTAAGACGTTGTTACTGTTGTTTTTTATTTCAGCTTCTCCCTTTTGATGTAGAAAAGAAGATAGGCATCTGCTGAAACGATATCCGTTTCGTAACACATCGATGATACGTACGAATCATCGAATTTGTACGATTCACTTTTACCGTTTGTTTCGTGTCTAGCACATGCTATATAATGACCACCATATATTGATCCCATATGCTTACTAACAGCAAATAAATCGTAAATAATTTTTTCTGATGATAAAATAAAACTACTTAAATCTAGACCATTTATTGGATAATCTACAAATGTGTCTACTTTTTGTCGTAAACCATTTTCATGTGAAAATCGCTTCAATTGTATAATGAGTATAGATGGAAGACTATAAAATTGAAGTTGTTTTGTTGCTTTCGTATATTTTTTACATTTTTCTTGTTGACATGGCCATGCGTCTTCTAAACGTTCCAATGAGCAAAATTCTCGAAGGCAACTTTCAAGAGTTAATTTTTTTACACTCCTATTGAATCGATTAAATTGATTACTGCTTGCGAAATCACCCTTTTCGACAAGTATTACGTCAGATGTAGATAACTGATTCAGTGGCATTTCTAAGTCAAGTTCTTCATCATTTGCCATGGCTATAATTTTATTAGTGAAGTATCGATGAGAAAATGATTCAACAAATGCTTCTATCAGATTTTTCACTTGACCATTTTCATGTACATTGACACATGCCACGTCATTATTTCTATATTTAGCAATAAATGTGACCATAAATTTACGTCCTTGTTGAGTTAGTGGCAATGGCAAGAAACTAATAAGGTTTATCGTTTTCTCTTCATGTTGACACTCAAGACAAGTAATTGCAGATTCTATTTTACCGAAAAATAGTTCTTCTATAATGGTATTTGAATTATTCGGATTATTTTCTTTCAATTCTCTACGTATTTCAACAAGAAGAAAAGTCATAAATTCTTGAGCATCTTGCTGATCCCAAGTAGCAAACCGTGCAGCTTGAACACCAATGATTTCTTTTAGGTGAGTCGGTCGAAACGATGAATAAAGGTTAATATTTTTTTCAGTTAACCATAAATTTCGCAATAGATCAGCATATGCTCCAGTCACTGTACCAATTGTATAAAACTGATTCCATTCGGCATCCTTACATATATCACCATCGGAAACGTCCTTAGTAAGATCATCTAAAAAGAATTGAGTCAATGGTTTTGCATGAGCCGACATTGAAGTCCGCTGTTCATATAGCAAGTATTTCCAAGATTCGATAAACCCACAGGCATCGAATGAAACTTTCGTGTGTACAGATATCTACTCCCCAAGCAGACAAAAAATTTCAAAAACGCGTTTAAACGGCACAAATTTTTCGACCGTGTTTGGCTGCTAGTCGCGGTTCCCGCCTGGCCGCCAAAAACAGCCGCATTAACTAAGA